TCTTCAACCACATGAATAAAAATATCTTAGGTTCTGGGGGACATTTTGTACTGTATTGTCATTCAGCTTGTATCTCCTGAATCAACTACATATGAAGTTGCAAATGACATATAAAGGGAATAAAATCTTTATCCTTCAACAGCAACCCTTGTGACAATTAGAAATCCATTAGTATCTGACCACTGGGATAGCCATGTTGTTTTGAAGATATGTTAGTAGGAAAGGAGAAGGCTTTCCTAGTGGTTGGGTTAGAAATTAAAAAAGAAACAAACCACCCCAAAAACCCCACACTCTCATAATGATCTATTACTGTCTTGCTGCTTCATTCAAATAAGAACTGTTTCAGAGTAAAACCAGATTTGATTTAGCAAATGAGAAACATACTAAAATTTGTATTAAAAGATCTTTTAAAACTATTTTCTTTGTTACATGGAGTCTAACTGGCTTTTACCTGTTTTTCAACATTTTAACTTTAAAGACACCAGTATTTAAATTACTAACTTGTATCTCTCAGATATTTCTTAATAATTTAATTTGGGGGGAAAAAAAAGACTTAAATTAATGTACTGCTTGCAGAAGTTAAACACGAATTTATTCTCCCATTTCTTTTCTATATTCTCCAATCTTACTTATTATTTTGGTTTCTCATCTGGGAAATTTTAAGTTAAAGCATCTTTTTAATAAGCAATCTGGAAACCTGACAAACAGAAGACTTTTTCCTATTTAATCTAAAAATCTAAATATTAAATTAAATGCTGGCAGTAATTCTCTTTTTTCACCAGACCTTTTTCCTGTACTTTTCCTCTGTTGAGCTGAAACATGACCAAGGGACTTGTTTTGTGAATGCTCCTCTCCATAAGCATCCACAGCCGTGCTGTGCAAAGGGTGATCTGTAAGAACAGAAAATAAACTGCATGGAAATTGTTCCATCTGTACAGGCAAAGAACACAGGCACTAGCTAGCACTGTCTGCCTTCAGCATTTAGTAAGAATTTCTGTGCTTTGCTCACTAATGCAAAGGGAGTCTCAGTAGAAGTATTACTTAATGATTAGGAAAAAATATAAAGTTAAAAGCTTCATAGTTTCTGTACTCATCCACCTCCTATTTATTCACAAACTGAAACCAAAAGTGCAAGAAAGCTTGGCACAGACCTATGACATATAGCAACAAAACATTTTTTAAAGCTTATTTCAAGCCTCTCTGTGCTATGGCATACATCAATCTTCTATACATTTAAACAACTACTTCCTAAATTTTACCTTTTTTTGTTTTGTTTTGAAGATAGATTTTTAGCTGCTTTATTGGATACTACAGGAAGACAGTTACAGGTGCTACAGAAAGTTTGTAAATGTTGAATGCTTGAAGGTAGCTACCAGAACAGATTAAAACTCTGAGAACCTTAAGCTTTTAGCCTGCCTACCATGGTATATATTTCTTTTTTAAAGCACAAAAATTGCCACAAAAATTCAGCATTGGCTTACATTAATGTTGGTGGGCACCCTTTTTATAGTTTTAAAACATACCACAGAAGTGAGGAAAAGAAAAGCTTTTCATTTGACAGCCTTACCCTCATGACAACCCTTCTGCTAGATTGTTCCTTATAGCTCATTTTCAATGCTGTTTATAATAGTTATGGGCATATTTCCTTTATTTTCTCAAAGTAATAAATATTACACCAGAGATACAGCTCCTAGCATTTTCTCTACATCTTCTAATTACAGTTTTTCAAAGACCCTTCTCACCAACATTGACATATAAGAACTATATATATTTAGTAGCAGGGACCTTCACACAGAGGCACCTATTCTATCTAAACTGATTGTCCTCCCGTGCACTGAGGCACAAGCCCAATATGGAGCATGAAAGTGATTTCAATGCTTCACCAAAAAAGTTTATTTTTATGATGTTACTTTTTAAGTAGAACAACATCCCTGTTAATGCCTACGCTTGCTGCCATACATACTCCTACAACAGCAAAACATTTCACTTTGTAATTTAATTGAGTAACTTCAGATCTTGAACTTCCCTTTTAAATTGCAAACCCTACACGGCTTCAGTGTTATATTGCATTAAATTCTGCCATTCAGACTATACAACTTGAACAGCCAGCATTTTTCTTTCAACTTTTATATATGTATTGCAGCATTATTCCTATTATTTCCTCAATGGCAGGAAACACCATCACTCTCAAAAAACCCTCTGTCTCTCCTGCCCATAATTTTCCCTGGCAAAGAAACTGTATCTTTTCCTAAGTAAGCATTGAAATATTTTGCCCATATGGTTTGTTCATGAAAATCATATGTTAAATGACACTGAAATTAATACTAACCAAATGAATCATCAAGCTCCTCAAGCTGATTTGCTTCTACTACCTTCAATATCCTTGAGACATCTGGTTCCTCAAGTGGAACCGACTTCCAGCGAGGACGGGGGTTGGTCTGGGGTTCCTGGATGGATAGGAAATTAACAGCTAGTTCATCCAGCTTTTTAGGTGTAAAGCAGATGAAGTGTGACAATGAAATTTACTAACATTTCACCAAAAATACATTGAACCTTGTCCATCCTGACTACTGAGCTACAATACGTCCAATCATAGGACAAAGGGCAACAGGTGCAAACTGGAACATAAGAGGTTCCACATAAACATCAGAACAAACTTTACTGTGAGAGTGACAGAGCACTGGCACAGGCAGCCCAGGGAGGTTGTGGAGTCTCCTTTGCTGGAGACATTCAAACCCCACCTGGACATGTTCCTGTGGGATGTGCTCTGGGTGATCCTGCTCTGGCAGGGGGGTTGGACTAGATGATCTTTTGAGGTCCCTTCCAACCCCTAAGATTGCTTTTCTTGTCCTAAGAAAAGAGGTGGCAAAACCAGTAATATTCTGCTATTTGACATTATACTGCAACATCAGCTTTCTCTTATTTTACAAAACAAAGCGTATAAGCTTAGAAACATTATAACAGTCTAATATCTGGTTTCTGTGATCTGTGACCTTTTTCTTCTCAGGCTTTTAAATGTTTCTTCTTTCATCTTTCTTTTACATTATTGTCCATGCTAGTTCAATTTAACGACTCTCACTTTAAAAAACCAAAATGCTACACATCACTTCTTATAAAGGTGGAACCTGTAAACCAAGCATTACTCAGGGAGTTCTGTGCAGCAGGAGAGCAGAACAGCACGTTTCTCTGTAAATGTGCCACTCGCACCCTGAGCGTGGGAGTAACTTTCCTCTTACTTCCGTGTGTGCTCTTTAAACTGCTCTCCTTCATTTGACACGACTGCTTTCAGTTTTTCCCGCCTGAAAGCAAGCAGCTCGTTTTGCCTGATGGCTCCTAAAAGAGCACAGGGAAAGGACAAACCGCCAGGCCCCGAACCTGCAGCTCCCAGCCCCACGTTCACACCCGCGCGTCCACAACAAAACACCTGCCAGTTCCATTCTGTTCAAACCAGCAAAACTCACCATCAGTTTCTTTCCAGAACGATTCCTCTTCGTTTTCTTTGAGGACATTTCACTGCTCAGTACGCACTTTAATACACAACCGAGAATGAAGCTACAGACAAATTACCCCCCCCC